ATGTTCTATCCAGACTGACTCAACTGGCAGAGTGAAGTAATGCTTAGTTTTATTTTAGACAATGAAATTATTATTTTCATGTTTCAAAACTATTTGAATTATATGTTTATTTGCATCTTTTAATGCATTTTTAATATTACACAAAAAGACTTTAGTGGTTAAACAAAAAAAAAATCAGCAAAATGTGGCAATTTTCTATCCAGATTAATCAATCAATTAATTGTTAAAATAATCAATACAATAATCAGTTATGAAAGTAAGTTTCTACTAGTTTGTGCGAATCACCTTGGATCAGTCAAATCTACAAAATAAGAAACATAGAGGTTCTGTTTTTTATTTTTTTTGTAATAATTTTTGTTTTATTTTGCAGTAGTAAAAACTCTATTTTCTGCATTGAAGGTGAAAAAATCCAGGCCTTCAAACGACTGAATCCTCTTGGCTGCCAAAACGATAAGATCCCTCCCAAATCGCCCCGGCCCAGACGAAACATCTGGCTCAGCCGCAGTCAGTCGGACATCTTCTCCTGCAAACCGGGGAGGAAAATCAACGTCCACGACCCGTACTACAACCCGCCCACTTCTCAAAGGAACCTCCGGACCCGCAAGATCAACCCGTTCACGGCCCGGGAGGACCTCTGCGGGGGCAAGATCAAGTTCTTCGACGTGCCCAGCAAGTCCGTCTTTTCGCTGGTGTTTGATTTGCACTCGCCTCCGGGAAGCGTGTTCAGCAACCAGCCGCCGACCCACGGGCCCGGAGCGTCCCAGCAGGAGACGTCCTTCTACTGGCAGCAGCTGCCAGGAAGGCAGTGCCACTCCTTACCGGTGTCTCCGCAGCTGCCGCGCTCCGAGATGTTCCACTTTACAGACCCGGTTGGATCCAATAACACCGGTTCTGTTACCTGTACGTCTACTCTGCTCTCTGCCACGCTTCCAGGTAAACCTGCTGAATGTTTCATGTGTATGGGAAAGCTGTAAATGTTCATTATTCACAAATATGTATATATTCTGTCAATGTATTTTTCATTATCTAACAACTTATCAGACTTATTAGACTCCATGTTCTAATTTAGAAAGATTATTACAAGTTTGTAAGAAAAAACATAAGATGTTTTCAGAAGTTATTTGCAAAATAAAACAGATCTTCTCAGATATAAATATTTTCATTTCTCTTCTCTTTAGCGACGAATTCCAGGTCCGACGCGGCGCCGATCCTGAACGACATGCGGCAGAAAGCGATTCTGAGCGGCTGGGCGAGGAAGTTTGTGGTGGTGGAAATCCCACCTTTCTGCAGGCAGAGAGGAGGCTGTGCCGACGACGACGCGGAGGCGAGGACGGAGGACACGAGGACGGAAGACACGAGCGGGGAGAGCTGGTCTCCGATGCTCACCAGCAGCGAAACGGACAGCGCCGAGGCCATGGACTGCTCCGGAGGAGGAGAAACCGGACCGAGGGACGGAGAGCTGCCTGGTGTGACGAACATTTCAGCAGGACTGTAGACTCCTACATTCAGGAAGGTGGAGATATAAGACTGGAAACTTGCATTGTTAAAATAAAGCACTCAATTTTCTCTAATCTGTCAAGTGAATGGATCACATTTTGAATAGAGGAACCACTTGATTTAGACAAATAACTATTTTTCAACCCGGTTAGCGCAAGAGGCTTTTATCTACACGCTTTCTGTAAAGATTATATTCTGAAACAGTTATTTAATATTTTGAGATGTAGATATTTGTTTTTTTCCTCCAAGTCTTTTTGTTTGGTTCTGTTTCTCTGTGGGATATCGATGATCCCTTGTATTATGTTTGTGAGTGTGAATTTAAAGTTGTTTTGATCATTTTCAGACTCTGAGACAAATGCTTCTGCTAAATTAAAGAAACAAACCCTTCCTGTTTGTGATGAAGAAAGTCTTGCACTGATGGTCCTTTGAGAAATTTTCATTCACAGCAAATGTTTAATTTCAGCCTAAAACAGACAAGAGTAAATTTTCTTTCTTTTTTTTAATGTTTATTCATTTGTTAGTCTTAATTTTAGGTTTGTCACTCCTTTCTATCAAGGGTCAAAAGTGCCACAATTTAATAAACAGTGATTTTTTTTTAAATACATTTGAAAATTTTAATTTGAAACAAATTGATCTTTATTTAAATCTATAAATGCATAGATAATACAAAAAATCCCACATATTTTAAAAGCTGCAGCACATTGTGATTTTTATTATTATTAGCCTTTCAGATAAAAATGAGTGGGCGGGGCTAATTTTTATATAGATAAGATGATTGGTCAGCAGCTGAGTTAAGCAATCAGTTTGGGTTTATTACAAAGGTCAGAGGGAATATTAATATTTTATTGTCATGCACTATTCAGAATAAAATGTAAATTAACACTTAAAATTGTCTTTAAGACAGATTACAATTAAACTTTATTTTGATTTTTTTTAAAATTATCACCTATAAAAATAACTCAATTGTTTGTGGCATTGTGGCACTTTTGAGGCTCCATAGTTGAATATTCTTTTGAATATTCAAGATTCTCTTTTAACCCCCCAAACTCCAAAAGTTTATAAAGTTAGAGTTTAAGCCACAACATAATTTATCAGAACCATTTCTTGTGGTAAAGTAGTGACAACACGGTTTAATATCTGCAGGGTGAAATAGCCAACACATCTGGCTAGTAAAATATTCTGCATTTTTGCTGAATATTCAGTAATAGTGGCTTCAGTTGCCTGGATTTAAGCCGATAAATGATCCAAATTTTATTTAAACTTTTAACCCTCCAAATTGTGACTTTCACTTATAACATCTTCATTGTTGATTTCTATCAAGGACGTATTTTTCAAACATTTTGGTTCTGGGAGGAAGAGCATTTCAAAATTATTCAGAAAATTTGCAAATTACTTCTTAACTCTTTAGTCTGGAGGTCAGATTGCTGCTTAAAATGAGAACATGGGTTTACTGTACCAGTAAAAAAAAGTATTGTGGTTCATTTCTTGTTAACGCAAGAAAACAGCACAATTTGGCCACAAATGTTTTTGGTAAATGTCTCTAGATAATACAGCTGCTAATATTTTGGTTTCTATATCTACTATGTGTCTAGAACAGATCTAGTGCAGGAGATTTTCAGGTTTTTTTAGGTTCTCAGCATTGAAGTGTTTTTGCAAAATTGCCTTTTTCAAACTGAATTATCTAAATTTATTATTTAGGCCTGAATCTGGTCTCAGATGTAAGAAAAAACATACAACCTTTGCTATTTTTCTATGCAAGTCTGATCATGTAGTTTTACAGGATAAAGCTTTGATATTTATGAAAACCTTTAATGTCTTACTCTTTGTATATTTGTGTAAAACTGTGGTGTTGTCCGAAACCTGTTGAATATAGATTAAAATGTTTGTTTTTCTCTGATCAAATAACAAAATTTTCCCGAAATTTTCTGTTTTTTTGTCGTTTTTTTCACAGCCAGAAACATTTTATAAAGCATGAAGGGAGCATCACTTCTTCTGCCCTCCTTCTTGCCCACATTTGCCCCCGGAAGAGGGTAAATCTGGACTGATCAGAACACATGACCTTCTTTACTTCCATCTTTATTCTCCCTTGCAAATTGATGCTATGATTATAATGTCAATGTTAGGCAAAAAGATCTGCTTATATTCACATTACTGCCATGATTTCAATATGTAGATTTTAGTTCTGGGCTAAAATAACCAAACCTTCCCATAAAACCATCCATAAAGCATTTTGTCATCACTGGATACCAAAATATAAGGTATTGGTGAATTAAGAGTTATTTCAGGGTTCGTTCCAGACTTATTCATGAGTGCGTAACTGTTACCTAAATATTTTTTTAGTATGCAGACACAAGAATGGAGGTGATAATTGAACTTGAAGTAGGAGTTAATCCCAGATTAGTTCCATATTAGTTTCTGTCTAGTTTATTGTTTGTTTCTGTTTTGAAGCCTTTATTGTGCACACTTGTGTTTATGATGCTACTTCTTATGGGGATTATAACCAACTGTGGTTCTTTGACACAAACAGTGCTTATTTTTGCACTGTTAATTTGCATAACATGATACTAACTATTAAACTATTAATAATACTAAAAAAGATAATAATCCCATTCAATCCAATCCAGGTCAATTTAGAAAGCACCTTAAATTACCAAAAGGACCAAAATGTTGTCCAGAAAACATAAAAACATTTAAAACATGACTGATTTCAATATAAGGCCACAAAAACTCCAAATACAGAAACGGAAAATTGTTTCTTTCATATACTCATTAACATGTCCGCTTCTTCCCATCTGAGTGAGTAAACCACATGGAAGTTGGGTGACAAACAGGCCAACGTTGCTCACAAAGGGAAATAGATGCAACATGCAGATACAATGAACTGATTTCCCTACAGAGGCGGAGAAACTGTGAGCAGCATGCACAGCGAAAGCACAAGAGAAGGAGAGACACTCAGGAAGTTAACAGGGGAAGTTTAGTGGTTTTTTTGCGTCATCACTTTATGCTGCTTCTGGTGCGCCTTGCAGAGTGAAGGTAGGAAGACTTGTTTTTGCTTTGTAACTTGTTTATTTTGCCTTTGTTCCAAGTTTTAAACTCCAACCTCAAAAGGGTTGTGAGTGTGGGGATGGGACGAGCGATGGGAGGGAGGCAGCAGGTGCCAGGACGGTGGAGACGGTGGAGGGTTGAGTTTGAATGTCGGTCTGAGTTTGTATTTTCAAGCTCGACTTCCGCTGCAGTGAGACAGGGCCCTGCGATGGCCGTGACATGTGTTCAGGAAGGGCGAAGAGGCCATTTGTGAAGACAGCGGTGGGGTCAAAGCGGAGACTGGAGGCTTCAGTTGGTCCAGCAGCTCAAAGAGTCCCAAAAAGTGTGACAGCGGTGACCATTCAGGGGCTCTTTTCGCTGAATAGCAGAAGTACAGGGACAAGGGTGTGGCCTGTGATTCGAAAAATAAATTGAGTTCATCGGGGGGGAAGTGGAAAGCCACATTTGCACACCAAGGATTGAGTGCAGCTTGTTTGATTTTGCAGGGATAGTCATCTGCAGTTTGTACCGAGAAAAACTTGTTATTTCTGGTTTTGCAGGGCGGAAGATTTAACAGTTTGTCCAAAGATTCCAGCTTTACAATGCGAAACAGCTCAGACAGGTGGCAGAGTTTCCAGCAGAAGCAGCAGCAGTGCGCCACAGTCCCTGAAATGCACAGCTCCTCCACAAATTCACTGCCACACTAACGAGAGTTGGAGAGCAAATCCGGCCCAGGAAGGCTGAGCTGACGGAGGAGCACCGCAGGCCGCTCTGAATGTGAGGTGGAAACCCGAGGCAGGAAGAGATGAGGAGAAATCGGAGAAAAGGAGGCAACAAAGAGAAGGTGTTTGGATGTGATCTGCTGGAGCATCTCACCACCTCCAATCAGGAGAGTAAGTGGATAATCATCACCTCTGTCCTCACACATTCATCTGTATTTTCTGCATCACAAAACCGCAGTCAGATTGCTGAGAACCTGAATGTAAAGCATCAGATGCATCTGATTGAGTGATTTTCTCAATAAGAGCTAATTAAAACTTTTAAGACTTTTCAGACAGCAGGTGGAATTTCAGTCTTCGTTTCGTTCTTGCGTTCTCTGGTTCGATTGGACAACTTTTAGCACCAAATTACGTTTTTTTTTTTTTTAACCAAAAGAAAACAGCTGAAAACCTGTCAGACACACAAGTCACGCCTGTAAATTGTGCAAAAATGCCAGAGTGCTGTTACTGGGATTTCATCACAGATTGAAGAAGTTGAATTGCAGTCTTAATATTTTGTTTCACTCATTTGTTCAGCAGTTGGTTTTGTGGTTGTTACAGCAGAATGTCTCAATACGAAATCTGGTGGTTAAACTAAACATGCTTGTTTATTTTCATAGAAAAATCTCAACAAAAAAATGATTTTTTTATGGATATGAAAGATCAAACATAAAGCTAACTGCTGATTGAATTCCTCTAGATCATCGTGAAGGAATTATTTTTAATAACAATAATTAAAAAAAAGGATTAACTGCACTTTACACAAAAAAAAAAAAATCATTTTTTCTGTTTAGCATCTAAACACCTAAGTTTTATCTTTCCTGTTGCATGGAAGTCTTTTAACACCTTTTTCATACCAGTTTTTTTTTTAATCTGCCCAGTACATTAATATTTTTCTAAAAATGAGGAACATCTCCTATCTTTTCACTGCAAAAAGTTTTCTATCTGCCAGCGCAACTTGTACTATTTTATCAACATTCAAGAATTTCTGACTTAAAACATATTTCAAGTAATATTTGCATTAGAAACTAGACAAAAGTACTTAGCAAAGCTGTTGTTTTTGCAGCAACAGCTGGCTTTAGCTTGCCATAGTTTGATGATCTGGTTTGATATGTAAAGTCCTACATTGAAATTCAACAAATGTATCAACAGAAGTACTATAACCTTTGTCTATACCTCATTTTGTCTGTTGTTCTATAGCTGCTTTTAATAATCAGTGATTTCCTGCAGTTCCTCTGGTGCTGCGATCCTGCAGCGAGTTTGTGGAGCAACATGGGATCGTGGATGGAATCTACCGTTTGTCTGGAGTTTCGTCCAACATCCAGAAACTACGGTTAGTCTTTTTCATTTGGCCAATTGTGTGCTGCCCATTCACATTAGATATTTTCATGCTTTCAATACAGTCAAAGGAAAAATCTAAGTACAACCTTAAGGTTTCTGCTGGAATAGGAGGGGGAAGAGACACAACCAGGTGTTTTATAATCAAACCCACCTGATTTATTTCATTAAATAAAATGAAATGAGATGGAAAGACATTAGTAATGACCTGTGAGGGACATTAAGACCATTTCTAAACAAACTGAATCCATAATTTTACAGTTGCAAAATTATTCCCATGCAGAAATTGATAATTTCCCAGAAGGGAATGTTGATGTAAATTCACCTAAAAATAAAATGCAAAACTAGAGTCAGGACTTTAGCGAGTTAATTAATTACTTAGATTTTAACATGTTAACAATTTTAACGCAATTAAGTGCCTATTTATTTTATTTTTTTTACATAAAAAAACAGCAACAATTTTTGGGACCCTGGTAAATATTTTTGTTATGTTCAAGTTGTGCTAAAAGGAGTTAGCCAATCTCCTAAGCTGTTCCAGCCTAAAATAGCATTTCAATGCTAAACACATGCTAATGTTGGTGCTGATGTCTGAAAGAAGGAAGAAGTTACATGAATGATCAGGGGTTCCTGATGAAACTGAAAGGTGAATGATGATAATTGCACTTTGCACTAATCTGAATAACAAATTTAAAAGAAAAGGTATTCATGTAGCCACATGTCTTTTTATTCAACAGTTTAACAGCAAAAAGGGTTTTGGAATTGAAAATGTTTATTTTGTCGATTAAATTTGATGAATTAATTACAGTTAACACAATTAAATGAACTAAATTAAATATTTTCATTGAGTCCCACCACTAGCAAAAACACAAGAGCTCCATCTCAGGTTCTAAAAGTCTCACGTAAATAATGGAGTTTATGACAGAGCGGTTGGAAAAGGGTTTGTCAGGATGCAAATTATTAATGCATACAGTAATTCTGCAGTCTGTACCATGTCCTTCTTTTGACCACGTTCGAAAATGAATTTCGATCAAATCTAGATTTGATTGTGAAAACCTTATGAGGTGAATCTTTTGTTTCTGTGAAACCAGGGGCGAGTTTGAGAGCGACGGCTCTGCAGATCTGAACAAAGATGTGTATCTGCAGGACATCCACTGCGTCAGCTCTCTGTGCAAAGCTTATTTCAGAGAGCTGCCCAACCCTCTGCTCACATACCAGCTGTATGACAAGTTTGCTGTGAGTAACTCTGATGCTGCTCTCTGAACTTCCATGGTCAAGATCAAGTGGATTCTCACCGGCAACTATGTTGACTGATTTTGGAGGCGGTACATTTGTTAAGAAACGGAAAATGCTGACAGTGCATGTCCTCCTGCAGGAGGCGGTGGCCATCCAGCTGGAGGAGGAGAGGCTGGTAAAGATCAGGGATGTGCTGAAGGAACTGCCAGATCCTCATTACAGGTAGAAACTTCTGCAGCACAGCGACAGACTCTAACACTGAAAACCTCTGCTTCTTAATATTTACTAACATTATAGCAGGTTAATTTAGCGCGGATTAATGGAAGCACGACACATTTTCACATTTCTTTTCATAATTCGGAATATCTAACCCATAGATTTATTGATCACTTTAATTACCTGATAAACTATTAATGTGTTAATAAAACTGTAATCACCTCAAGTCAGAAAATGTCAGAGGTTCCAGATAAACAGTTTTACTAAAAAATTGAGGATTGAAGATAATGAGCTATTCCTTTATTTATTTTTTTGACATGCATGAACAAAAATATCATATTTTTGATAATGTTTCTGTATGCTTCAATCAAGGATGATAAATAAAAATACTTGTAATAGTTCAGTATGTTGTAAAGCATCAGAATATGGATATTTTAGAAATAGATTAATAAGACAAATAAAGTCAATAAAGTAGAGCAAGCAAGAGAGAAATAGAGGGAGGATAAGTTAATTATCTGATAATTAACTTTAAATCCAATGAATTTTATGTATCTTATGTTAAATCGTTCCAGTTGTGCAAGGAAACTTATTGTGCCATATGCTCAAGTGACAGAAAAATATTTCTAAGAATGCACATTTTTAATAATATATTTAAAGCTGCATCTTTGGGACCCACTTGATTTGATTTTTTTTAAATTGCGCTGATTTAATTTAGATGAGTTTCACAGTTTAATATCTTCAAATCTTAGCAATAAATAAATAAATAAATAAAATCATACAGAGGATTTAAATTCATAAAGTAAACACAGACATGACTCTTTTTTCTTTGGGAGATGTTCGTATTTATATATTATGGCAAATTGTAATTTTTTTAAAAGATCAAATGACGTTAAACATTTGCCTTGCAGGACTCTGGAGTTTCTGATGCGTCACCTGGTCAAGATGGCTTCCTATTCCTCAGAGACCAACATGCACGCTCGCAACCTGGCCATCGTCTGGGCCCCCAACCTGCTCAGGTGTGCTAACGTCAGGCTTTTATACCTGCTTTCTTACTTAAAACTGGCTTGTTGCTAAGCATTACTTTGAATTGACGAGATTTGTCCATCTGTCTGTCTTTATAAACTATTTTCCATTGAAATCTTCCCTTAATCCATTATTTCTTCATCTTGCTCTTTGTTCAAATTCTCCTTCCTTGTGTTTCTAACATGAATTAAAGCTGTTCTGTCTAAAACCCAGTTGATAAACACATTTATTTCCCTGCATAAGGTCCAAGGACATCGAGGCGTCTGGATTCAACGGTACCGCGGCCTTCATGGAGGTCCGGGTCCAGTCCATCGTGGTGGAGTTCGTCCTCACTCACGTCCCTCAGCTGTTTCCTCTCGAAGGTCTGGAGAAACACTCAAACATTCCCCACATTCAGACTCCTGCTTCATCTCTGCGTCCTCCATCCTTTAGGCACACCGACAGAGAGGAGGAAGTCCCTCCCCTCGCCGTCAGCGCTGCCCAATCAGGAGCTTGTGTTCTTCAGGTCTCAGCCTAACTTTGGGAACATTAGTCCAGGCGATGGCCCCCTTCCCATTAGACCCTACCACGCAATCATTGAAGGCACAGACAAGTGAGGGGATCATTGATCTATTAGCTGAAATATTGATACAGAACCAGACACACATTTAAAGATGGTTAAACTTATCCAAGGCCACATGAATGTAAATTAGCTTCATGGATATGTGTTGACGTTGCAGCCCATTTGGGTAACATGTAGACATTGTTCACTAAAATGTTTTCCTCAGGAGGAAAGGATCGCTCAAAGGCAGGAAGTGGATGTCCATTTTCAACATTGGAGGACGATTCCCAGACCCGCGACGGAAACACAAACACTCTGCCAAGGGTATAAAATGACAAATTTGACTTCTCTGTCTATATTCTTGGTCTTTTCTGAAAAAAAGTGGTTTCAGTTTGGTTTTACTTTATTAAATTTGTTTATATCAGATTTATTTAGTTAGTTATTTGTTTATTTTAATTGAGTAAGCTCCATATCATCTGATAATTTGCAATTTCAGAAAAGGACAGAACATCTTTAAGACCTGCAAGAAGCATGGACTCCCTCAGCACACCGTCTTACCCAAATGAAGGTGCTTTGCTCTCAAGTATTTTAAAAATTGGTTTGACTAATCAAAGGGGATTTATACCAAGAAACTCTTTTTATTTTATTTATTTCCTTTGCCTAATTGGTGTGATGCAAAGGCCTTTTTATTTTCAGTAAAATTGTATGTTCTATTATGAAAAAGTTACCCAAGTAATTGAGCCAATGTAACTAGTTACTAGCCGACTCTGGTCGATTTGAGCTGCTGATTGTATTTCAGGTTCCAGGCGGTCCGGGCCGCGTCCTCCATCCACCAACTTGTCCCCTCCGGCCGCCAGCCTGTCTGCACCTGGCTCAGACTCCGCAGCGCCCGCCTGCGGGTTAGGAAGCAGCGAATATGCCGTGACCTACCGCAGAGGAACGGGCTTAGTGAGCGGAGGAGCAGGCACCCAGGGGACCTACACGGCTCTGGACCCAGAGGGTTTAGCAGTGCCAGGCAGCGAGGGCGTCCAGACCAGGTCTCCAGGACTCTCCAACAAAGCCAGACGGGCGGCTATGCACATCACCGGCCCCACCATGGTCACTGTGCCGCTACATATCACCTCTAACCTGGCGCTGGGGGTTCTTCAAGGAGGTGGCGCTGACAGGGTCATCATCCGGGGACGAGACAAAGACGGAGGGGACAAGCAGGACGTCAAGGAGCCAGGGGGAAAGATCGAGATCAAGGAGCCAAAATTAATGGAGTGGAACGTGGAAGAGAGCAAAAATGTTGAAGAAAAGGACAGGAGTGAAATTGAAAAGGAAGATTTGGACACAGAGGGACATAAAGGGGCACCAGAAGTTTCTGAGGAGGAGAGGAATGAAGGAGGAGAAGAGAAAAAAGGTGAGGAGCTAAGAAAAGATTGTGAACTCAAGGAGACGGGAGACCAACATGCACCAAGAGAAAAACGAGTGAAAAGCCACAACTCCAGCACAGAGGAAGACATTCACGAAAACATGGAGGATGAAGACAAAGACAGTGAATACATGGGTAATTATTACAAATTCACAACCAGAACTACCTCTAAAAGGATTAGTTAAACATGTTGACCTAAATATGTTGTATTACTAGAATAAAGTCACAGTAGTGTAAAAACAAAGTCATAATATTAGGAGAATAAAACCAGATGAGAATAAAGTCACAATATTATGAGAATAAAGTCACAATATTATGAGAATAGTGACTTTAGAAGCGACCCGTATTTGGAGGTTTTAAAGTTGAAATAACACAAGAACAAAGTCCAAATAATATGAGACTAAAGTCATAATACAACTTTACTCTCGTAATATTTTTACTTTCTCAGCATATTATTTCAACTTTATGCTTTTACAAATTCCTTCTTGTAATATTATGAATTTCTTCTTGTTATATTATGACAATATTCTCATAAAAGTGTGCCTTTATCCACATAATTTCATTTTATTTGTTTAATTTTCTAACTTTAGTCCTCGTGGTCCATCATACTCAAACGATGTCCGACACTGGGAGCTCATGTTTCTGATCATGGTTTGTTTACAGAAATGAAGGGATCAGAGCTGAACTGTCAGCAGGCGGCTGCAGCCTCGCAGCATGAAGACGACAGCGTTTCTGATTCTGATGATTTTCTAAACTCGACCGAAGCCGAGGAAGATAACCGCAAGCTGTCAGGCTACATCCAGGACAACTTTGAGTTCCTGGACCAGATGGACTGCAGCGCCATGGACCACATGGACTGCAGTGCGTCCTATCAGGTGGGGACATTATTATCTCATCAATTATGTAGAATTAATTAATTAAAGTTCTTAATCGTTGAGAAGGCGAACTTACTTTGTTGTACCGTTATCAGTATGTTACTTACAAAAGGTCTCTAAACATTATTAGGGGTATTGTAGAAGGAGAAATAAAGAGGACTACATTTCTTCCAAAAAACTCAGAAATTTCAAGATTAATTTCAGAAATTTTCTAGAAAATACTTACAAATTTAGGAGTTTCAAAATTTTTTAAAATCTAGAAAAAAACTCAGAAATTTTTAGATTCATCTCAGAGATTTCCTAGAAAAAAACGGTTTCATAAGTTGAAAATGTCTGACTTTTGAAGTTAGAAAGTTTCTGAAATTAATCTCAAAATTAAAATTTTTGTCTAGAAAATTATTGACTTTTCAGTCTCATACATTTCCAGTTTTTCTTCTACAAAATTACTCAGATTAATCCCAAAATTTCAGATTTTTTTCCAGCACATTTTCAACTTTTCAAACTCAGGAATTTCCTGTGTTTTTCTAGAAAATGTCCGAGAAATGACCTTCTTTTTTAAATCTACAATGGTTCCTGATACGGCGTTTCACAAAACAACATTATTGTTCACAATGGGGGACAATTTGTCATCCAGCAAAATTTGTTATTATGACACATGAAGTTAATATTTTAAGCATTTTGGTCTATTTGCCTTTCAGGTTAACGAGTTCTCTGTGGAGCCTCCTGGTCACTCTTATGACGAGTATGAAATCATGGCTCAAGTCGAGAGGCTGACGCTGAGTGTGACCGAGGCGACTCCACACAGACCGCTCAGCCTCGACCTGAACAGTCGACACACCAAATCCCTCAGCTTGCCCTACATGACGTCACCCATACGCGGACCGGAGGAGCAGTCCTCTTCTGACGACGTTTCAGAAGATGAAGGCGATGAAGAGGATTACAGCAGCGACGAAGATGAGAGCATGTTTGTCAAGAGCCTGCCGCCGGACTTCTTCTTGAGCAATCTGTCTGGGCTTGAATCAGACAAGCAGGACTGTTCCGGCCCGGACAGGCGTCTGGTTCAGGAGCTGCAGAGGCCTGAAGGAGAAAGCTGCGAAACGGCGGATGTTGAACTTTCTGTTTGTAAAGAAACAACTGAGCTTGGGGAGGAAAACACCGGAAACGATGAGGAAAAGCAAGAGACAGAAAAGGAGGAAGAGGAGGAATCTTGTCAAGGAGATCAGCTTGATGAGGACACACAGAGGTAATAAATTATTAACATTTTGCTCACGAATATATGAATGTAAAATGTAAAATATGAAGAAAAAACTATAAATAGTATGAGGATATTCACATTATACACAAAGTTCTGAGTTTTGACCAGAAAGATTGTTTTACTTCCTGGCTGACGTCTTCAGATGTTGCTGCAATATTTCCACATAATGTTTGTTTCTCATTATGCCATCTATTTTAAGAAGGGCAGCAAAACAGCCCCACAACATGATGCTGCCACCTCCGTACGCCACGGTTAGGACGGTATACCCATCCCAGCTGTTCCTCCTGGTGGTGATTATGCCCAAAACAGGAGATGTCTCCAAAAATGAATATTTTTGACCCTGTGTTAATTTTCAAGCTGCAGTCTGACTGTGGATAATGACACTGTCTTAGCGTCTTAGCGCTTTGTTAGCGTCTTTTCTTTTGGGTCGATCTTCCCATTTGGTCGTCTCTGGGACACAGAATCCGTCTCCTTCTTGAGCTTTATGATGGTTGGACATTCCCATCATGTCTATTCTGCCATATAATTGTTTAAAAGATGAGCGCAGCACATTGAAGCATCTGGAAATTGTTCCCAAGTATGAACCAGACTTATCCAGCTGCACAGCTCTCGTCGTGATATCTTGGCCGATTTATCTTGCCTTTCCCATCATGTCAAACGTAAAACGCGGTGTGTTTAAGGTGTGGTCTTAAAATAAATCCACGGGTGTTTCTAACATTGACTCAAATGTGGCAGTAAATCTGTCAGACATTCATGGAAGGAAGCCCAAAAGGTTTGATCCAGATAATACAGATTCAAATACAATTTTTCTTAATACTGACTTTTTTTTCTAAAAAATGTTCTTGCCAAGTTTTCTAGAAATTATTTTTGTTAATTCCAATTAAGCAGAAACAATAAAAGTTTGATCTGATTTAGTTTCAGACGGAGTGAACATTTGATTCAGTGCTTGTTAATGTCTTGTTTCTGTGGTGCAAAAATAAACAGAATAAAGAATAAAAATACTGCAGAAACAGCAAGATTTCAGAATAAATTCAGTGTAGTAATAAAAAATACTTCAGTAAAGAAGAATGTGCGAGTTGGTTAACTAAAAATGTACAAAACACAAATTAAAAACTTTTTTGCAAATAGTGACAATAAAAAGTACAAAAAAATAAAGTTTTACAGATACCAATAGGAATGTAAATACTTATTAAGTTAATGTGAATTAAACTAAAGTGAAATGAACTAAACTATGTGCTAATTTGAGTGTGTGTACCTCAATAGAACACATTTCAATTTGTTTGTATTTTAATGTAACCAAAGAGTATAAAGTTCCTTTAGGAAGATTCTGTACGTTTCTCTGCTGATTTACGTCTATTGCAGACGTCTGAACTGCTTTTTGTTTTGTCCTTGTGGCAGGACAACAGATGAATCTGCAGGCGCTGCAGAGTCCAGTGAAAGTGAAAAATGTCCAACTGCAGAAGCATCAACAAGCTGCTGTGATCAGCTTCAGGAAACCGACGGGCCGACCGGAGCCAAAGCCGAGGATGGGGAAGAGGTTCTGGAAGAGGTTCTGGATGAGCCTGGAGACGATTCTCTTTTGACAACAATAGATAATACGTCAAAAGACAATGAAGGACAAGTTAGTGAGGAGGACAATGCAAACAGCAGGACAAATAGTGACATTTGGAGTGAGCTTGAGGATGTTGTTTGTGAAGTGATTGAGGATGAGGAGAGTGAGCAGTCTATGAGGAAAGCTTCTCCAGAGGAAGATGTCGAAGCAGACGGAGAAGTGGAGGAGGAAGACATGATGAAGACAGAGGCGTTATCACCGGAGCCAAATGTAGAGAAACCTTCAGATGAGGAGAGAAACGAGTTAAATCAAGAAGCTCAGCATCAAAACAGAGAAGACGCGGTTTCCGAAGAGACAGAAAAGGAGAAGGAAGACAGAGCAGAAAGCAGAACACAACCGAGCGCCGATAAACAGCCAGTGATCTTGTCTGATATTAGGGACTCAAAGGAAGAAAGTAATCCTGCAAACAGCAGTGGCAGCCCAGGAGGCGTTGGGAGGAAGCTGGTCGTCTCCAAGCAGCCTAAGGTTTATCAGGTCAAAGCGGTGCCGGTCGTTCCCCCGAAGCCTCAGCACTGCAAAATCACCGCGCTGACCCTCCGTCAGCAGCAGCAAGAAAGAGAGAGGAGAGACAATGCTCTGAAGGAGCGGGACGGAGACGGGGACAGCGAGGCCGCCGAGAAAAAGGACAGGCCGTCAATGCTCAGAGAGAAGAGGAGGGACGGCCTGGACGCGGCGGTGAGGGACACGAAGAGGAACAGCCCGCTCAGCATGTGCTTCGACGAGGCGGTGGCCATCGCAACGCTGAGGCGGGAGAAAGAGCGAGGAAGAGAAGGAGAGGCTGAACCAGAGGGAAAATGAAGGACAGTAGCTGGGTCTCCATCACAAACGTGTTACAAAACTTTGTCGACATTTCGCTTGTGTGGAAAGAAACAAAATTTCACAATTGCGTTTTCATTAAATAAGAAAAACAATTAAAATCACGTGAATACTTTTGTTCACGTAATAAGTCCTGAAAAGCCACAGCAGTTATGTGATGTAAACAGTAACTGGAGATTATATTCATAACTCAGCCACCAGCGCTCATTGCCTTCAGAGGAGACGTCAACGTCTTATTCAGGCGTTGGAGCGACAAGTCTTTTATATTTAAGAACAGCTTTTTGGGGAAAATGTAGCTGCAGATTTTAGCTCCAGATTCAATAAGTCTGAATGACAAACTCATCTTTTTATAAACTGTGAGAGCTTTGTTCGAGCCAGCTGGACATTGTCAGAATAAAACAAATCTTTATCCTCCTATCACTTCCTGTCATCTTCTTTGGCATTTCCAACAGTAGTAAGATCCAGCTGTCGATCACATGATCCCTGTGATACAAAAAATGTATTCCATGGCAGATTTTTAAATTACCTCCCTTTTGATATGACTTAAAAAAACACCTGATTCTAGCACAGAAATTAGAAATTTTTTCAAGTTTTCTGCGTTTCCATGAACCGGATTTTAAAAATCCAAGTTTGCCCAAATGCACTATTAATGGAAACACAGCGAGTGAAGGAGATGCTTCAGATTCAGCTCGCAATGTTCACCAGGCTCTCTCCTCAAACGAAAATAAAACTGTATCATTGTTTTATTTTGTGATTGCTGCCATTTTTGTCATCATTGTTAATATTTAGTTTTATTGGTTTACAAGCATCATAGTAGCTCTGTTGTCCTTATTAAAAGAAAAACATTTTACAAGGTCACACACCACCCTTTGCAGTTATTGCCCCCCCAGTAAAGATGTGTAAAAAGCTACCACCATATGTTTTAGTGGTAAAATCTCACCAAAATATTTGACTCAACTCATTTTTCAGTGGAAAAATGCACCTAAACATCTGTATAATCAAATGTTTAGGTGACCCTTGGTGACCCCAGTATGCCACTTTGTGGAGACTTTATTCATCCTCCATCACCGGCCTCCTCACTGGAAAGAACAATGTGGGTTCCAGCTGTTTTGCAACGAGAAGCTACTTATTTTCTCATTTGTATACCGACTTCCCTAACTTTAATGATATATTTCCTCCTCTTTTGAAAAACGCCTAATAGAAATCGGCCACTGTGTCACGTTACACTTCCACCCCAGAACTAGGAACAACTTAAAAATATAGAGAATAAATAAAAAGAAAAAAAGTTCTGCTTCATTTAGGTCACCATAATTGTGAATAACTAACATGAGAGTTTCAATCCTACTGAATAAATGTGCTAAAGTTAAAAGTGTATTTTTCTATTTTCTTCATTTTCAATGGTGAGATTATGGAACTGAAATGAAAGATTATAATTTAACTTAAGACTTTAATCTTTACCAGATTTTTCTCATTTTAATTTTGCATTCGTCAGACACAAATGCAATAAGATGCATTTAAAATAAAAGGTGACATTCAGCTTGTTATAATTAAATTGAAGAGATCATTCTAACTTAATCCCAGGCCTTAATAGTTCAAAATAAAACATGAAAAAATAAAAAAATTGAGGTGGAACGAAGTATTTAGTGCTGCTCTGACATCAGACATTAAACAGATAAACAGCCTTTATATTCTGCATCTCTGATGTGTGATGGTTGTATAAAAAAAACATTTCACTTTGTTTACCTGCATTTTGATTCTCAAGATTTAAAGATTAGTTTTTGAAAGTGGCTCCATAGCACTTACTGATTGCACTTATCTTTGGGTCAGTTGTTTCTATGCAAAGTTTATGTACATGAATAGTTTATCTGAAATTGATTGACATGTCTGGCTCGAGGCATTTGAATAAAGAGCATTGTGAATTAATTAAGTGTTTGATGCATTATGTTCTTTTTTAGAAAACACTAGATGTTATTACCTTGTATTGGAAACCACGTGGACGTTTGGATATGTAGACATTCGCGTATCTCAAATACAGCGATGCTAAGAAGTACAGGGAGGCATTCCAACATTTCGCTTATATTAGAGGCTTTACGGCTACCGATGTCTACCTCACTTCCGGCTTGGAATTTACCGGAAGTAAATCAAAATAAAACAGAAGGGACGCTGATTCTCTTCTGCACAGGAAGCTAAAACCTCACTTCTGTAGAGTTTGTTAAACTTTTCCATCGGGATGTCTTTTCCCTCAGCTTTCAGTACGCAGGTGGCCGCCATCATGGATGTTCTGGCCAAAGCCGCGGTAGCAGAAATTACGATGCTGGTGGAGGAGGGGAGCGTGGCTCTGCGGCTGGAGGTGAGCAGGAGGGACAGTGAGATCCAGGAGCTCCGGAGTAACCTGAAGAGGACGGAGGCTGAGCTCCGGAAAGCTCAGGAAGCGGCTGCAAGGCGAGCTACAGCCGAGAAACAGGTGCAGACCGCAGCAGCGGCGGGTCAGGAACCGTGGAGAGGTGAGGGGAGGAGACACCAAACTGCATTCAAAATGTCTTTAATTCAGTCTGACAACTGATAAACAAGATCTCCTTAACTTCTACCTTTGAAGTACATTAGGTAAAGTAATTGTTTTAGCTTCCCGTTAAATTCGTCTAAAGCTATATCATGTTTATTTATTTTAATTACACATATTGAAAATTAAAGGTGAAACTCTTGCAATCAGTCTGAGTAAAGTTTTACTGCTGCTACAAAGCCACAGTAACACATTTAACAGGTTGATATTTATATTCCCAGAAGTTATTGCAATAAAAGAGAATATAATTGTTTTCACACAGTATAATAATGAAATAACAATTTCTCAAAGATCAAATAAACTTGAAATTCTAATGGTCGTCTAATACTGGAACTGGAAGACATTTTGAATGTCCAAAATTAATAAACAAAGCAACAATTGGTGTTGAAAATGACTATTTGAGACCAAAACACCAGCCTAAGGAGTTTTATCATCCAGTTTTTGGTAGAAAGAGAGAATAATTGGCTCAATAATCATGTTAATTTATCATGTGATTGTTTTATTGCTTACTACTACAGGCTTATGGAAAGCATTCCCAAAACATGACACTTCCACCTCTGTACATTGCAGCTGGTATACGGATAAAATCAGATTTCAGCAAAAACATTAATCTGAGCATGAAGACCTGCTGTGTGAATGTAGGCGAAGGTTCTGCTGGACTTATTGTTTTGAACATTTTCAGATTGTGAGCACATCATGCCATTGTTTTCTTTTGGCTGCAGATAAGGAGAAGCTTCCTGAAACTGACGGGGATTATCCTGAATTAAAAGCTACTGATTCATTCTTCGAGACTCGCATCAGTCCCGATGTGAAGCAAGAGCCAGAAGGTGAACTTCAGTTCGATGAAACAACCAAGCATGCAGCAACGGACACACCGGATCGGGGCGACCCCATCTGGCCGGCTTGTGGAGGGTTTGATAAAAGCTCTGCTGCAGCTCAGGAGAAATCACAGGTGTTTCCATCTAATGACATGCAAAGTACATATTTACCTTCAGGAAAGGAAGGAGAAGATGTTTGCTTTAATGTACCGGTGAAAGAAGAGCTCTCTGTGCTTGTTGAGTCTGTTTATAAAGACGATTTGCTTCCTGGTGTCATTCGTGATGATTGTATGGAATCTGGAGAGCCGTCAACAACTTCACTTTATACACAGGCAGAATCCTCTGGATCAAATGAAGATATTATCGTCAAGAAATTTAACTACAGGTCAAAAAGGCTTATGAGCATGTGGCGAGGGAATCAGAGTGTCTACATCTGCTCGGTGTGCAACAAGAGTTTCCTCCGCTTGTCTCAGCTGGAGGAGCACAAGAGCACCCACCAGGCCTCCAAACCTTTCAGGTGCCTCGAATGTGGAAAGTCGTTCACACAGAAGACCCGGCTGAAGACGCACCAGCGGGTCCACACGGGGGAGAGGCCGTTCAGCTGCAGCATCTGCGGGAAGAAGTTCTCCAGGCAGGACAACTGCCTGAGACACGAGCGCTTCCACAGCGGGCTGAAGCCGTTCAGCTGCAGGCAGTGCGGAAAGAGCTTCACCGTGCTGGGAAACCTCAAAATCCACCAGGTGATCCACCTGCGTGGACGTTAGCACCAATAGTGTTTGAACCGTTGCATCAAACGGAAAACTTTCACAGATGTATTTATTAATCGTAATAATCCACATTAAGGCAAAAATGTGATTCAGCTTAAGGCATGGATAATTAATCTCCAGAGGTCTAAGAAATATGTTTGGATGTTGAGCAAAATGCTGATTTATTTTAGATAAAAGGGATTTTTAAAATGTTTGTCTTGTGCTTAAAGCAAATCTTATAAATGCAAATGTTGTTTTGTCTGGATGTCACCTTTACATTTACATGTATTTCAATAAAAAGATTTTGTGCTTCATACAACTTTTTCCTTAATGTTTTTTTCCCAGTATAGACTTTCTTTTATGAGTTTTTGTTGAGTTTTTCCTCTAATATCTATTATCAGTTACATGTTTGAGTGTTTCTGCTGAGTAGCATCAATCATGGCAGTGTGTTTTATTCAAACTTAATCAGAATAAAATGGGGAAGATGTGAGATCACTCTTATTTTAAGTGGTAATATTAAAATTTCCTGCAAAACAGAATTTTTTAGTTTTATTTTTTGATATTTTTCAAAATCATGAATTTTAAAAAATACCTGAACTTTATATCACTCTGTAGAATAAATCTTTTTGAATTGTATTACAAAAATTTTATGGAAATTGAATAAACTTTTATATTATAGTTAATGTTTCCTACCCATCATTACGAATTAGTTATTTACAATGATTTGAAAGTATCTCAAAAATTACTGGATAATTGCTCCCTATCTACACTTTTAAATAATAGTTTGTAAATGAAACTGGAGAAAAAAATAAGATTATGGATTAAGACAGAACATAAGAGCATAAAATTTGTCCAAATTCTCATGGAGAGCTTTATAACTTATCTTTTGTCGTTGACTGAATATCATCTTTAATCAATAACATAATTACATATTTCATCTCTATTTTTGTGGAATTTTAAAACATGATTGCGAGAAAAAATATTTATTCAAAATCAAATCATTTTCATTAAAAACAAGACGCTGTGCTGCGATTGGTCATTACAATTCTGGGACGCTCTGGGATTGGTTGTTAAGGTGATTGCGTTTTTAACGATTCCTGACCTAACCCTAACCCTGTTGTTCAGAAGAATCTGCGTCTTTCTTCCACGTCTTACGGTACTTTTCATGTCATCACTTCCGTAAAACGAGGGCTTGCGATGTTTATGTCTTCGTATGGCACCAATTAACTGTTGCTAGCTTAAAATCTGGCTTCATAAACACCACAAACAGAGCAAATGGAAAGAGATGCAGCGTGTGAGCGCTCAGCGGGCCTAACTAACTGTCTGCTAGCGCCAGCAGGAGACCCGCGGAACCCCGACGCTTCCTCCGCCCTCCGGGTTGTTTAAAGTTTAGACTGATCTTTCGGGGACTGGCTGGTTCATCATGTTGAACGGCGTGGCTCTGCGCTCCCAGATCGCCTCCGTGGTTGATGCCCTGGCCAAAGCAGCTGTGGCGGAGATCTTCAAAGTTGTGGAGGACGGCATGGTGGTGCTGCGGCTGGAGATGTGCCAGCGGGAGGATGAGATCGAGAGGCTGAAGAGCAGCGTGGAGGTCCTGCACGGGGAGCTGCGGGCGGCGCGGCAGGCGGAGACCCACCGGCTGGAGACCCACCGGCTGGAGCACCGCGGAGGAGACGGTGAGCTGCAGAATGAAAACAAAAACACTTAAGATGTCCGCTTGAAACAAATACAACCACAAACACATTATAGTGCTGCGAAAGGATTTATAAATCAGGTTGAAACGCAACATTCTCCGTTTTTATTTACATTTCTGGGTCAAGATGTTCTCGTTTCACCGGGTGTCCCATTAATTTTAAAAGCTTCCATGTATTTCATTTGGATTGCATACAATTGAGGAATTGCACATTTTTCTTTGCAAAAACAGCATCTGTGAACTGCAGTTTTCAAGTCTTGCCTCGGATTCTCATTAGGATTGAGGCCTGGACTTTGACTATGCCATTTCAGCACTCAAAGATGCTTTGATGCAGATGTAGTTTCTCTGACTGTGTTGTTAGGCTCATCGTTCTTTATCAAATAAAGAAGTGTGATTTTTATCATTTATCTGCACATATTAACTCCATTTAATCTTCATATTTATTGATACTACTTTCATTGAGGAAACACTGAAGAAAAAAATTAAAAATACCAATTCCAACAATAGGACAGCTTTAATAGGGTTTAGACGTCATTAATTGGATATGAATCAAAATTTTATCATCTGAAATCTATCACAATAAATGATAAACGATACAATAAGTGCCCACTTCTACATTCAAATATCATATTCTTCAAAATTTGGTGCAAAACTCATCACATAATTGCAATAAAATTCTAAGTAAACCAGGAATGAAGACAATATTTGTTGTGCATCGGTGCAAAATTCCTAAAACTGAGACACAATACAAATTTTATGAGAAAAAGACTGTTTGAGATTTTAATATTACTGCCAAGAAAACTACAAAGACCAAATTTATGCTCCAAAAAGCCTTTATTCAGTATTTTCATAAATTTTGCAACAAATTTAACATCCTGATCCGTCATTTTCTAATTTATTTTCAACTTTTCAGACCGTGGTCTACTGTATGACATTTCACCAGTTGCAACTGATAAGAGTGTTGTGATTTTTATGTAGCTTTATGACTGTTAAAAATCCTTCCAGCGGTTGCAATAGCAATGCTTTCTACCTCTTTTTGCATCTAAACATCTTGGAATACTCACACATTTGTCTGTCACTCTGTTGCATTTGGAAACCCAAAATGCAGCCTAACTAATGATCTAAGTTCTGTTCAAACATCTTCAGTGCTCATGATGTAGCGTTTATATTGTGATGATTTAATATCGCAAGATCTTGTTACACCGTCATTATTTTGCATCGTCATCGTCCAGCGAAGGTGAATTTTAATAAAGGTTCCCGTCTTTTCCACAGAAAGTCAGAGGGGTGTTGGAGATGAGAAGATCTTGGTTGAGAAGGTTCCCTCTGTTGAAAACCACAGCATGTCATCTGTACCTGAAGCACAAAATAAAGGTGAACTTGTGAAGGAGGGAAACGAGGACAGCAGAGGACGGCTGGACAGGCCAGTTGAAGGGTCTCTGTATGGAGGCGGGCAGTGGAGGTCAGGGGTGCCGAAGGAGGCTGGAGGCAGCAGCTCTGATTACTTAACTCTGGGTCAAAACTCCTTGTCGTGTCTCTCCGAGCCGTCGTTGGATGGCGGGCTCGTTCTGTCCTGCGGCAGCTCCGGTGGGTTTCCACAGAGCCCCTTCAGCCGCGGCCTGCTGGGATACAACCAGTACAGGAACACGGTGCGCAGGCGGACGGCGAAGAGGCTGATGTTCAAGAAAGGTTTCATCTGTCCGTACTGCGGCAAGTGCTTCGAGCGAGCCGGACACCTGGAGAGACACAAGAGGATTCACACGGGCGAGAAACCGTACCGCTGCGAGATCTGCGGCCGGCGGTTCAACCAGAAGTGCAGCCTTAAGGAGCACATGAAGATTCACAGGAGAGGCAAGTATAACTGTGCTTTGAAATCAAATAAATTTAGTTCCTTTTTACCCAGTAAGGGGTATAACAGGCATATGAAACAAACAATCACAGCTGTTTCACCACTAGTTTTATGTTGCAGCTATTATCTTCTCTAAACTGGTTTCACAAACAATTACAACCGTTAGAAGCCAGTTTGCCAAATTCAATTCAAATTCAAAAATACTTTATTGGTCCTGAAAGGAAATTAAAGATAAACGACAGGGTTAACAGAAAGCCATGTCATAATGTAATTTTAAATCTCTCTCTGGTTGTGATTGCCTCCCAGTTCATTCACTCCTCTTAACTTGAGTTTTAGCATTTCAACCACTGAAATCTGCATCAGGTGTTGGGATAAAACACAGTGAAAGTACATCCAGCTGGCTAAATATGTCATTTGCATGCATAGTTTTAACGTGAAATATATTTGCCTATGAAATATTGCGTTATTTGCCTTTGAGAGATAATCATGCTGACTGTGATTTGACACACGGTACAGCTCTCTCTTCCAATAAATGTTTATTTGCTCAGTTGCAAACTGACTTTCAAAGGAGGATTGCAGTTTATTAACATAGATGACAAGATTTGTGTGATTTTTTTTATGCTTTTTAACTTGTGAAAGGCTGGAATTAGAAGCACCACTTTGGCCAAAGTTTTGAACATTTCTCCAAGTCCAAGAAAAATCTGACGTAAAAACTTTAAATCAAAGAAAATTTTTTCAAAATTGTCTTTTCCATTAGGCCAATCTGATTTTGCAATTCCAGTTTGTGTAACTTGATGGTCAGTGGAAACACGGCTACCGTCTCTCATTATCTTTGTTTTAACATCTCCAGTTGCAATAAATAATGTAAACAGATAGGCCATTTCTCAGTGCTGTTTATCACCCTATCAACACAGTTTCATATTTTGTCAATATTTATAAATCCCGCTTAGTGCTGGACGATGTGGCTGAGAAACGTATCGTGATATGAGCCTTTCTTGTTTCTGTTATAAAGATCTGAAATACTTCTGCGATTGTGATTGACTCTGTTTTATCCACAGTTTTTATTCCATCCAAATAAAGATTTGTCTTAAACTGCTGCTGCGCAAGTTACTCAACAGGTTGTTGCCAGATAACCAAAGGATTTGTGAGTCACTAGGGAGCCAAACAGAGTGAGTTAGTTCATGCCAGCAATCTTGCTTAGGTTGAGAGGCTACAGACTTTCCTCTGCCTACATCTCCCAGAATGCTTTGCAGTTTTGGATGAGAGTTCAGTAGGTATTCTAAATATTGAGCCGATTGTCTGCCACGATATATAATGTTCTTGATTTATTTTGGTAGCTCATTTTTCAAGCATCATCCAGACGTTGAGCTGTTGTTTCTAAACCCGACTGTGTTGCTGTAATTTGTCTCCCTGCGCTGTGGCCCCTGCAGAAACTCAGTGTTCACCAGTGGGAGGATCAAACATATAGAGGCCCTTCAAAATGATGTAATGATGTGGCTTTGTGTTGGCTCTGTGGCCGTGGAAAAACCAGCCGGTTTTTTGCTGGGTTGTTTGTGTAGAACCAGTTATCACCATCTCGGCTCGCTCTGGAAACACTTTAGTAGAAAAAAACAAATCTTCCCTCACTGGAAGACAGAAGGAGTTTGTGCAACAACTGGATGTTTTGGGTTTTTTTCAGTTTCCTTTTCCTCTGATTTTGATGTAAACTGTCACATTACAGTGAGGGCTCGCTCAGGCAGTTTCCTCTTTGATACGAGGAATAAGATCCAGAAAAATAAAGAGCCTGATTTACTGCATGAGGGGGGGATTGTGTATTTGAACATGGGTGGTTCACTGAACCTCTGCCAGCATGCTGCATTTATATTCAACTGGAAAACTGAGACTTTCCTCTGTCTGAAGCACATTTAAGATGCGGAGTAGTTCTAACTTGCCTCCTAATTTTAGACTCCTGACGAATAACCTATGGTGTCGCTTTTGTCTAGTCTGGGCCGGTCTAAATATTTTAGTGTTTAGGTGAAAGTCTCTGACTTTGACTCATAACATGCAGCAAAAGTGCATCTGGTAGAAATTGCAAACCTTTCCTTTCCTGTCACTTTCATGTCTTTATTTTAAGATGGTGTTTATTGTGAATATATATATATATATATATATATATATATATATATATATATATATATATATATATATTCTCTCAGTTGTGTTGTGAAGTTTTTAAGTTCAGTTTAGGAGTCAGAAATCCTTTACAGTTCAGTAAATTTTGAAAAATGAGGATTGTGCAAGGTTTATGTGTTAAAAACATTTAATCAAGATTTTTTCAAGCACCAAATCTGTAAAAATGAATTCATATGCAGCCCACATGGACAAACCTCTCTAGTTCTGCTAAGCCTGTATATTTTCAGACCAGACTCAAGTTGCAGTGTTTCCCAGAGCGTTTGTCGTTTTTCCGAGGTGAAGCCTTAAGCAAATATTGTTTTGTTTCTTATCATGAGGAGGTGGGGATCTCCTGTAGGACTCGCCATGTCGTACGTTCATCATGACCTGTTGGATCAATGCTTATTTGCATTGGCTCACTTTAACTGTTAATCTGTTAAACTTAGTGTTTAATATATTACTTATGTTTTTTCTCCTGTAGTAGATGACTTTAGAATCTGAAGGCCTCTCGATAATTACATTAGCTTTAATCATTTGCTGCTGTCAGTTTTGTAGAGCTGCATCTGAATATTTCTCGGCCAAGATATCCAAAAAAATCATTCAATAAAAGGCACAGTCACCAGTCTTTTTATTAACTTTGTAAGTGTTGGTAAAAGCTTCGATTTTATTTTATTTTTTTTGTGCTTCAGGTCTTCAGACGAGACCAGGAGAAGTCCAGATGAGCCAACAAATCCCAGTCCCACAGGTGAATCCATGTGTGGAACAGCATCGGCCTGAAGAGGTCAGCCAGGTGAAGGCCGTTGATAACCAAACAAAGTCTGAAGAAGTTCTGCCATCATCCGTTCAGGTAAAATCTGAGCCGGTCGAGGAAAATATTACACAACCGCAGCTGCATGTGGAAAACAATCAGGCAACAAACAGAGCTGACAACATGGGTGAAAACGTGGATCCAGGCAGCCAACTGTGGGCATCCAGGTTACAGAACAATCCGACTGAGTTTCTAAACAGCTCGTCGCAGAACATGTCTTCCTTCCCTGCCATTACTCAGTTACTCCAGCCAGCAGAGGAAACTTCTTATAGCAACTTCTCTGTCCGAGGAAAAATGTATGGGCAGCTGAAAACCTCCACCGTCCCTCAGACGCCTTATGGGTGTTCAGGGTCGGTCATCATCTCCAGTAACCCCGACTTGCAAGACGCGACAGAGGCCTCGAACCACCTCAGAGAGAGGAAAAACCGGCCGTTTCGAGTTCTGAAACCAAAGAAATGCTTTGTCTGCACCTACTGCGGGAAAGTGTTTGAGCGAGCCGGACACCTGGAGAGACACCTGCGGATTCATACCGGGGAGAAACCGTACGGCTGCCATATCTGCGGGAGGTGCTTCAACCAGAAGAGCAGCCTTAAAGGTCACATGAAGACTCACAGAAACGGTAAGAGTTCAACAAATTGGACGTAACTGAAGCTCTTCTTCTCTAAGAATAAACTTAGAATTAGGATTGGAAGGAGGGTTGGGGTTTAGGGTATGGATTTTCAATTTATATTTATTATTGAAACTGTAGGTGGATGTGATCAAAAGAGTTGATTTTCTTAAGAAAGCAAATAAAAATGGACACAACAGCGATAAGGACCAATCATCGATAATGGACCTGGATTATCAAGAGTTTTATATGTAAGAATAAACATTTAAATTTTAGCCCGGATTAAACTGGGCCCCAACAAAGAGGGGAAAAAAAGAAATATGATTAAAGTTTTTGAAGTGTTTTCCTTTTAAATTCTCATATTAGCATTTTTGAAACATTTGGGGGATTTTTTTTACTGTTTCCTTAGGTGGTAAAGATACTCAGTAGTCCAGCCTAGAAGTAATAAATGCATGGACTAGTTTCCCTGCAGGACTCTGGGGGGAATCACGGCTCTAATTTTGGCAATAGTGCGCAGGTGCAAGAAAGATGTCCTAGAAACCTGTTTAATGTTGGATTAAAGGACATGTCCTGGCCAAAGATGACACCAAGCATCTTTACATGATGAAAAACTCTGGAAGGTTTACTTGCTGGCAACTAAATAAATAAAAAAACTCCTATTATAGGAATTAAAAACTCAGTTATGGACATTTGTCCTTCTTTAGAGCAGCTAAAATAATATGCTGCAGTATTTTAAGTAAAAATAACCAAGCATTATTCATTATTCAAAAAACAAAACACCATAATTCACAAGACCGTACGCATAGTTCTATTAAAAAAAGCAAAAACATCAACAGAAGAAAACATTTGCACAAGAAATAACAGACCAATAAACACAAACAGGATAAAATACCAGTTAGGAATGTGAGACATTTTGAAATTTACTGTGAGAAAAGTCTACAAACCCAGATAAAAGGAAAATTTTCTCTGTTTTTTTAAAAAAAATCCAGAACATGTTGACATGATTTGATGCAAATTTTTTTTTAAATATTTTTTTCATCATGAAGGGACGACAACAGACTTGCTGGAGGCCCATCACCTGATGTTCTCGGTGTCCGACAACCAGCTGATGGAGAGTTACATGGAAACCAGTAACGGAGCAACAGCTGCGGACGAGCCGTTTCCCGCCCCGGCGTACGCTCACTCCATTAAAGAGGAGCCGCTGGCGGTGAAGCTGGAGCCCAGCGACGAGAACTTCCTCTCCGTGTCTCAGGTGGGGACGGACAACAGAGCAGCAGCAGCCGACAAAAGTTTGCTGTGGACGTCTGCAGTGGAGGAAAGCATCGACAGCCCAGATCAACCAGTCTGTGTCCTTTTACAAGATGTGAAGTACCACCTCGGTTCTCCAGCAGGGGGAGCCAGTGAGCAGCAGGGCTTCACCTCAAAGGATTTGGCTTTTATAGACAACAAAGCGAAGGAGGATCCGTTTTTAGCCGTGGGATTGCAGCAAAGGACTTCAAATCTAAGTCACAATCCAGCTGGAAGGGATTTCTGCTCGGAGAGCAGCGACGGCGTGAACCAAGACGGCGTCTATGAGTTTACCCTGAGAGCGTCGGACAGCTTCGAGGAGAGCTGCAGCGCTGACCCCGCCAGACAGAACTACATCTGCTCCAGCTGTGGGCAAAGCTTTGACAGTTTCCATATTTTCCAGGAGCATCAGTGTGAGAAACTCCCAGAGCAGCCGTTAAGCTGCGAGATGTGTGGAAAAACTTTCAACCAGCTGAGCATCCTGAAGCTGCACCTTAAGCTACATGCTAAATAAATGTGCCAGTTTTATATTCGGTACATTTTCACTGTCTTTCACCATTTTTAGCTTTTGTCTTTTTAGAAAAAAAAGACAAAACGTTAATTTTACTTGTGTTAGCTACATTTTTGTCACTTTAACTGTATTTTTTGTTAGAAAGAAAAATAAAAGAAAACAGAATTATTAATACTTCCTGTTTACCAACATCATTTCTGTTTTTTGTCTGTTGGTATCATTAAGAATAAAAACATTTTATTTACAAGAAACCTTCTGGAAATGTAGAGCTTTGGTGAAACAAAATCAGACTTGAATCATCTGCTTATTTCTTGAGACCATATTCCTAAAATAATTATGAAAAAATTCATATTTCCTGAAATATGAGCCCATTGCACAGCTGTGACAAAAGAAAGTACATCTTCTCTCAACCTTGGAACCTAATGTAAAAGGGCATAATAAAAAATTTTATTTTTTCAAAACAAACATGAGAGTCGAGCGCTAGAGACAAAGACAAAAGAGAAATCATACAAACTCTAAAATCTGATGCTGCTACATTTTTATTTGCATTTTCTAAAAAAGGAACTTGCGTTAAGTGTCTTCTTTGTTCACCTTCACCCTCCATTACCATTATGTGAGTGTGTGCATTTTTCTACACTTTTTTGTTTTGGCTTCATCTTTGTTTATTAAATACTAACAATACAGAATATGTGTTATTATTAGTTTAGGTTATGTTTAAACTATTTTAATACATGAAACTAACCGGATTGTCCAGATATTTAAAACCTTGGGAGTGTGTAATTTAATTTACAATGAAATCAAATCAGTGTTTGCATTGTTGAAAACACAGTGAAGCCCATTTCTGCTGAATCAGGTTTTCCCATATTTTAACTGGTGTTGAAATAAGTATTATAAACATTAAAGGTAAAAAAAAAACGTTATTCAAGTTACCTTCTGGTGAAAGTCTGTCCAACTCAGAAAAGCAGATGAAACAGTTTGTCTTACTTTATTCAGTAAATGTGTACTAAGGCTGCTAAATTCGTTTCAATGGAAACATCACGTAACCTGTAATAACAGAAAAGTAAGATTATGTTTTAAGGCGTCAATCAATGTGAAAATGAAGACTAAATGCTGTTTCTTAACTGTGGAGATATTTTGTATGCAAATGGCATGAATACAGCATTATATTTACACTTTGCACATTTTAATGTTTTCTCACCAGAATTCTGACTTTAATTTCAGAATCATGAGATTAATTCTGCCAGAATTCTGTCAAAAAAAGTCCAAATTTTGAGATTGAACTTTGATCAAACAAACAAAATTTGGCCTGACTGATATGAAAAATCTTTTTTTGTTATGGTTTGTTAGTTAAAGTTGTTATTTTCTGGTAAAATAAAGGTACATAACTTATTTAAACAGCAACAGATTCCATAGTCTTTAGTGTTATTATCTCTTATAACTGTAATGCTTCCTCATTTCTTATCTTATATTTTGTAAACATCTGTTCACATCAGTTACTGTCTTTACATGGCAGCGACAATGATAATCATTTGTGTTGGTTGAATATGTTGAGTATACTTATGGTAACTTCTGTGTCTTTTTGTATTTTTTAAATAAACATCAGATGATTTCTGAAGTCTGTGTGGTTCTATAGGTTTGGACAAATGATTGTTCCTTATTTAACTATTTTTTCTAAACTAAATTCATGTTATAGGATTTATTTTACTTTTTTGCATGTATTTTTTTGTAATTACAGGGAAACTTTTAAAAAAAAAATTACATTAAAACATCTAAAACTCTTTTCCAAAATTGAGTAGTAAAAAGTAAAAGAGCATTTAGATATTTTTCTACATTTTTAGCAGGAAATCAGAGCTAATTTTTAATATGTCTATTTTCACAGTGTATCAAAAAAAGCTCTAAAACAATGATTCCAGATAATCACTGTTTTATTCACATTTTCTAATATTTACCATTTTAAAACTACATTTTGTATTTATTCAGCTTGTCTTTCTTTGATATTAACATGTGATTAAAGTGAGACAAAAATATAGCAAAACCAGAATAATTGTGAAATAGTTATTCACATTACTATATCTCAAATGGTTAACACTTCTACATGCAAATGGTGGGAACAGTTCCTTTAGTATTCGAATGCATGGGAAAAATAACAAGGGGAATATATTTATATAAAGAATATATATATATATATATATATATATATATATATATATATATATATATATATATATATATATATATATATATATAATATTTTAAGCTGATTCAAATACAGGTAAATATTGTATTGAGTAGAAAGCAGAATTGTGTCAGGACCCGTACCTTGGCGTTTACTGTTCCACAAACAGTTCCCTGACCCCACATTTTAGAACCGTTTCTCAAAAACAGCTCAGCTATTGCCCTTTTTCTGGACTGTTGTATCAAGAGTAAACTACAGCGTCGTTAAGTCACGTTAACTCACATAACGTGACTTAAAAGTGGTAGAAACGTCCGTTTCCTCGAGCGGTAAATTCGAGTGCGTTTTTACTCGTGCATTTACGGCAGAGCTCTCCACCACACGGAAGAAAGCTCTAAGCTAGCTGCCACAAACACGCAGGGATGTAAAGCTCGTCTTCCACGTCGTCTTATGTTTTGTTTCCAGTGATTTATCAATACATCGTGGAAAAACGGAGTAACTTACACCTTTTCTACCCGCTTCCGACATTAAATCTGCGAACATGGCTTCGTGCGTTCCCTTCCAGACCCAGTTGTCCTCAATCATGGAGGTCCTGGTCAAGGCAGCGGTGGCACAAATCTCCAAGCTGGTGGATGACAAATGTGCCTTCCTGCATCTGGAAATATCCCGCAAACAAAGCGAGAATGAGATGCTGAAGAGGAAGCTGCTGCTGATGGAGAGCAAGAATGCGCAGCTGCAGCGGGGATTCGGTAAGACGCTCAGCTGTTTTGTTTCCTTCAATGCATCAGCAGCATCACTTCATTAACCTGTTAAGATACGTTTTTCTGCAAAATTTCTGCACTCAGTTGAATTTTCTTGAGTTATGTGTGTTTTTGTTCTAAATGTGGCCCAATTCTAGTAATGAAATCACTTATTTTCCTTTAGAAAACTACATGGATCGAGGAACTGAATTAGGAAGAAATGTTTCACATCCCACTAGAGACTTAAAGGTAAGTGTCTCTTTTTCTGTTACTCAAAACTTTAATGTTGTTACTTAGCAAAAATACATTTATACATTTATAAAGGCTGGAATTAATTAAAAGGGCCAAGACTAAAAAAAAACTAAAAAAAAACCCAATGTGAACAACCTGGATTGTTGTAAAGTATTTTAAATTCAGCTCAGTTTATTAAAATCATGTTAAATTAGAGCCCCAATTGGAACATATTATTATATAATAATTCATAAACAATATGATTCAGGCCCAGATGATTAAATAAATAAACATAGACGCAAGCATAAAAAAATCATGATTTAATCTTCTTAAAACTAGTAATTCACAACAACAACAAGAACATATTACAGATGTTAACAGCTTGTTTTGTTGTTGTAGTTTCCTGAGATTCAAGGATCCGGTGTTTCCTTCACAATTAAGGAGGAAAGTCCGGATGAGGCGCTGTGGATCAGTGATTCTGCTGCAGCCATCGGTGAGTACAGCTGGTTTTACAGAGTTACACAATCTGGTTTAAACATTTGTAAATCTGAAAATATATTTGCTATATGTAGCATTTTTTAAAAACTGAAGTTAGCCCAGTTACTTGATTATGCTAAGAAAAGGCACTATGTTCCTGGAAAACATCATTTTAACTTTCTCTTTATTCTCTCTGCAGGCAGAAAGTGCTGACTCATGTCTTGTTTTCCAGGCAATGCCGTCCCGTATCCTGCTCAGGAGAGCCAGCAGGTCATCCATCCAGATGTTACCAGACTCAAGCCTGCAGAGTACAGCGGCCCGTTCAGCTCCGGCCAGCCGCCAGTCGACATCAGCAGCCTCCAGTTCACAGTGAAGACAGAGAAGGAGGAGGACCAGCTGTCCTTTAGACAGGACAGATGCCAGCACCGCGTGGGGAAGCAGACTCCCACCGCTGTCGACTATCCCGTGGACGAGCGGGAAAGTCAGCTTTGGTCATCGATCATCGAAGGGAATGAAATTGACGCCGGGTTTCCTGATTTCTCCAGCGTGGTGGAGGAATATTCCAGCTCTTTCTCTGAGCATTCGGATGCCACGAACATGGCGTCCAACACCAGTAAGTCGCCCGGCGTCCAGGAGCCGTGCAACGGGGTGTACGGCGGCGAGTATCAGAAGGACGCGCAGCTGTCGCATTTCCAGCCCGGAATGCAGGACAAGCAGAAGGAGCAGCTGTTCCTGCAGCGGAGCGGCTCCCACGCCGCCCAGCTGGGCCCGCCGCAGGAGGAACGGCAGAGGGAGGCGGGCGCCGAGGACGGAGCGAACGCCGCCCAGCCGGCTAACGCCTTCACCACCAGCTGCTTCTACACTCACGCCCCCCAGAAACCCGTCGCCCCTGTTTCCCGCGGCTACGCCTGCTCCCAGTGCGGCAAGTCCTTCAGCCGCCTGCACCAGTTCAAGCTGCACCAGCAGAGCCACAGGAGGAAGCGCACGTTCTGGTGCAGCGTGTGCGGAAAGAGCTTCCAGTGCTCGTCGCACCTCAGCATCCACCACCGGACGCACACGGGGGAGAAGCCGTACGGCTGCGGACAGTGCGGGAAGCGGTTCACGCAGCAGAGCAGCCTGCGGGTGCACCAGCGCACACACAGCGGCGAGCGGCCCTACAGCTGCTCGCAGTGCGGGAAGTCCTTCATCATGATGCACCACCTGAAGCGACACAGGATCATCCACACCTACAGCTGAGGCGCCGGCGGCTGCCACAACCAAATGAAAGAAGCCAATGAACCACAGCTTGTTTGTTTGTTTGATTGACTGAGCAAAATCCATCTGGGCTTTCGACAGAGTGTCAGGGCCACACTAAAAAATTATTTTAAAAAAAACACATTTATGAGAATAAATTTATAATATTATGAAAATAAATTTATACAAGAATAAAGTCAAAATAAATCAAGAATAATGTCATAGTATTACAAGACTAAAGGCATAATATTTTGACTTTGTTATATTATTTTGACTTTAATTTTGTACAACTTTATTCTATAATATGACTTCATTCTTGGAATCCTGTCTTTATTCTCAATTTATTCTCAATTATTCTCATAACATGAGTTTATTGTTGTAATGGTGACATTATCATGAGACTTTACACAGATTAAAGTTTCTCGTACAATTTTATTCTCGTAATATTACGACTTTTCTCCTATTATTTTTGATTTAATCCTCAAAATACTTTCACTTTATTATGCCTTCATTCTTTTATTTACTTTTTTACCTCAGTATGGCCCTAATACTCCGTCGTAGGTAATGGATCTGCTTTTTGTTTTATGATGATAAAATGTGACAGTAAGTTGTGTGAGAAATGTCTGAAGCTAGAAATCCCAAAAAAATAAAATAAAAAAAAGATGTGGGTTCCTCAAACAAAACCTTCCACCTTTGACCTTTACAGAGAATCTAGAGCAGGGCTGTCCAAACCTTTTGTCATCGAGTCAGAAGCACAGAGGCCATGGAAATAGAAAAAACATCCATTTTTTTGTTGCTTTGTTTATTGTAGGAAAGGAATGTTATTTATCAGAGAGCCACAACTTAAAAAAAAATCCTGTTTGCTCTATTAAAAGAAAAACATTTAGTTTTCACATTTCTTTTGGGCTCAGTTGAATAAATTTATTGTCAATTATAGGAACAGAATTAGTTTCAACACGTTTGCTACATTTAGCCAAGTTGATAAGTAAAATAAAAACTTCAGAAACTCTTACTTCTGCTTATTGTCAAAGCTTTGATACAAAAACATTAATGCTTTGTGCTGCAGTCAACATTTTTTATTGTAAAGAAATTATATCTGTAATAATTTTACTCTGATTACAGATAAAACCTTTTAGTTCCTGCTATTCAGTTGTGCAGGACCCGGCAAATATTTTGCAGTTGAGGGCCGAATAAAATGGATGCAAGGGCCACAATTGGCCCTCAGGCCACACTTTGGACACCCCTGATCTAGAACGTCAGTTTGCTGCAAAAATAAGATATAAAATATTTAAAGTTTTTTTTGTCTTCTTTCAGGTAAAATTTACACAATTAGACTTTCAATTAACTTGATTAGGGTAAAAGAGTTACAAAGAAATGTTCATAATATTCTGCATTTTTTATTTAGTTCCAATATTCAGTCTTCCTTGGTTGCAATTTGTCAAGCTATTTCTATCAAGATGTGAGAACAAATTTCATCCACATCCCTTTTTTTTAATTCTCCAATTTGACAAAAAAAAATCTATTTCAATTTGAAGTTAAGAAAACCCTCACCATGATGCTGCCTCCACCGTGTTTCACTGTTTGATGGTGTTCTTTTGGTGATGTCTGTGCCAAACCTCTGCTCCATTGGACCATAACTCTCTCCTCCGAAAAGCATAAATACAGTCATACTCAATAAATAGGAATATTATTGAGAAGCTCCTTTATTTCAGTAACTCGACTCAAACCCTTTACAATAATAGAATTTTTGGTTTTAAAGCTTTTATCAATGATGATTTTGCACTTAAAAGTGAATGAAAACCAAACATTTAAGATTAAAATTTGACTTCACACCAATAAAAAACTCATTATTAATACATAATTGAGGGCTAAATAAAAACTATTAAGTGAGTTGTTGCCTGACTTTTCAGCAGAGGTGTGTTGATGCACCTTTACCTGCACAGAGACGGTTTTACTCTGTCGTGTGAACAAACGCCGCATCCTGTTTGTGTTTAAACTGACGCGTTGTTCCGTGTTTTATCCCTGCAACAGCTTTCTGTTCAGACCTCCTGAAGCATTTCTCAGGTTTTCATGCCAGCACACCGACGTCCACAAAATCCCTTCGTGTTTCACATTAAACAGACCTGAAAAACAGACTTGTGTTGACTCTGGTTTAAAGGAAAAACGTGTTGACATTTCAGAAATTTTCAGATCTCTGAGTTTCTGAAGTGACTTTTTAATTGGAGGTGCACTGATTGTAGTTTTCTGGTCCATTACCAGTGTTTAATTTCTTTTTGATTCCCTTTTTTTATTTTAAATAACTGATATTGTCAAGGGTTAAACTGTGACAATGCACCTCAAAATTACAGTCTTATTTTCTAGAGAAACACTGAACAATATCTGTGAAACGATAAAAACTTGTTTTAACTGATCATGAGGGAGAACTTTCAAATATAAACGAAAAACTTGGAGCATTAGCTTTGAAGTTCCAAACTCAGATATTTTCCAATCTAAACATTTTCTGAGATTAAGCTCCAAATTTTTCTTTTTTTGCAGGAATTTACTCCTTTTTTAGTCTTTGTGTGCAATAGCCCTAATATGTTATTGTAGACATAAAAACAGTGGGGAAGCTGATTTTTTGGACTAATATTACAACTTCTTGAAACTTGTAAGGAAAGAACAGCAGAGGGCGCTGTGGCCCATCATTTAAATGTTAGAAATGTTTTAGTTTCTCTGACCAAATCATGTTGATCCACATAACCAGATATTTTCTCTCATTTTATAAACCAAAGATAAAAAAGGTGGGCGTGTGAAAGTAATTTTTTTTTTCTGAAATACTCAGAACAGCTTGTTTGGCTTCAGAGTCACTTAATCTCCTTCTCCTTCTGAACAGGTGTGAATAATAAAACATTTTTTATTTCCAACTTTGATTCCTGCAAGTAGAAAGTTTTTAATCAGCTAATCAAGCTTTCAATCAGCCTCATACTTATGTTGCTTTTTGTTTTGTCCATTTTGAACTAAAGTCCTCTTTCTCGAAGCGTTGGCAACACTCTGCTTGTTCGGTTTCTCAGCTCTGCCGGGAACGATCTGTCCTGCTCAGCACTTCCTTCTTTTGCAGACGTTATCTAAACAAGTTGTAAAATAAATGAAGCAGCTGCCATTGTGATGTGAGCGCAAAGGATTCAAAGGAACGAAGAAACACTGCTGCAAATTTACAACGCAGTGGAAAAAGTATTCACCCCTGCAGATTTCTATTTTCTGCTGTTTTGTCACTCGAGTGTTTCAAATTATGAGGTATATTTTAAAAGCTGTGTAAAACTTTGCAAATTACTGCATATTCCACTGGTAGATTATTTCACTAATACTTTTTCATGAATATAAAAGAATTATTGACTTAAAACAAGGCAAAAAGTTACCTTTGTTTCATTTAAAGTGTTTATAATTTCACAATATTAGCACTAGAAACTGGACCAAAAATACTTTTTGTGTTTTTGAAGTGTTTTCAAAGCTCATCTTAAACTTAAATCTGACCTAGAAGAGATACTTTATGTTTGGAAACTCTCCAGAACTGAACCAGGCCTGCAAACCTTCTCCATAGTGACACAAAGAACTGATTGTTGGTAATTACAACAGCTGTCAAGTACAGTGAAGTTCTGTAATTTCAAAAACATTCTCCACCTCATGCTGCTTGCTGACACTTGTGATTTTGACCCGAAGACATATTTTTATTCAAAGAATTCAACATCAGCACCTGCAGAGAAATGCTGAAGTGAAAAATGTTTTGCAGTGCTGTGCTGTTGGAGATGCATGAGGCTTTTCTGTGAGAAACTATTTTCTTGGAGCAATCAGAGCTAAACTACGGGGAGGTTCCCAGCCTCCCTTTACGGTGAGCAGCTGCAGCCTTGAAGTTCACTAAATTAGTACATTTTGTTCAGACACCTGGAGCTCCTCCTTTCAGCTTGTGGAATTCCCAGGACCTTGTAAGGCCATAATGGAAAATGGAGCGTCATGGAAACTTTCCCCCCCATTTTGTATAAGAAGCAAAGGGGTAAAATCTAAGAAAGATAATCGAAACATCCAGAATTAGACTGAAGTACCCACGAGATGAAGCTGGACTGTACACACTGCAAATAGTTTTGGTTTAGTTTCTAGTAAAAATATCTTAGCACACTTGGAAAAAAACAACTAACTTCCATGTAAGTTTATAACAAGTCATACAGAAACTTGTTTAAGTCAATAATTCCTTCATGTTGCTTTAAAAAGTATTAGTTCTAGTACTAGTGCATTGACAGATCTTTCCCAGTTATGGATGAAATCATCTGAAAGTGGAACTAATACGTTTTATAAAATATTAAGGGATTATTAAGGGATTATTAAGTTAAAATAAGCTCCTTATCTTGCTGAAAAGTTACCTGTAAGTTAGTTTTATCTTATTTCAAAACTAGTTTCTCGTTTTTCTAGAAACTGCATAACATTGGAATTGCATAAAAATGATTTTTGGTACTTTTATAAGAGAACATCTTCACAGTTAATGGAGATATTTTAGATGCCTCAGAAACAAAACATAATATTTCATTGGAGCCGAGTACAATAAATGTTGATGACTGTTGAATTCAAAGAAATTGTTAATCACTATTTTTTTGTTGCATTGGTCACCATATTAATGATATTATGACATTTTTTTGTATGATTCTGTTATTCTTGATAAAAAAAGACATATTCCTCTCTAATACAAGCTTTAAAATATTGAAACACAAACAACGTTTTGTTTTTATGGTTGTAATATTTGATATTATAACATGAAATATCAAATAGGAACCATGTAAATCTGTAACTTAACGTAGGTAGTGACTAAAAACTGCTGCAGAAAGATGCAAAAGTCAATATTTTCAACCTTGCATAAGCGCAAAAAACTGAAATTTGAGGCACAAAATAATTTTGATTCTAGGTAATTTATTAGAAAATTGAAGCCATGATTGTAAAATAAAGTAAAACTGACAAATACTTATTATTATCCACAGTGAAAGGACATTTTAATCACATTTAAATACACTGACGGCCGCCCTGTTAGGGTAGCTTCCCTTCTTAAAATAATTCTCCAAACGACCCGAACCGACACATAAATACATCTCATAAATATCTTAGATCCTTTTACATCTCACTTTTACAGTTGTCAGCATTTTCAGACGTGCAGTGAGTTGGTCTGCTTTGTACCGATACCAGGGAATGTTACAGCTTTGACAATAAATAATTGGAAAATAAAGTTATAAAATGCTAATCTAGTCAG